GGGTCTTGAAGACAGTCAGGGGTCTTGAAGACAACCAGGGGTCTTGAAGACAGCCAGGGGTCTTGAAGACAGCCAGGGGCCTTGAAGACAACCAAGGTTTTGAAGACAACCAGGGGTCTTGAAGACAGCCAGGGGTCTTGAAGACAGCCAGGGGTCTTGAAGACAACCAGGGGTCTTGAAGACAGCCAGGGGGATTGAAGACATCTAGGGGTCTTGAAGACAGTCAGGGGTCTTGAAGACAACCAGGGGTCTTGAAGACAACCAGGGGCCTTGAAGACAGCCAGGGGTCTTTAAGACAGCCAGGGGTCTTGAAGACAGCCAGGGGTCTTGAAGACAGTCAGGGGTCTTGAAGACAGTCAGGGGTCTTGAAGACAACCAGGGGTCTTGAAGACAGCCAGGGGTCTTGAAGACAGTCAGGGGCCTTGAAGACAACCAAGGGTCTTGAAGACAACCAGGGGTCTTGAAGACAGTCAGGGGTCTTGAAGACAGCCAGGGGTCTTGAAGACAGTCAGGGGTCTTGAAGACAGCAAGGGGTCTTGAAGACAGCCAGGGGTCTTGAAGACAGCCAGAGGTCTTGAAGACAACCAGGGGTCTTGAAGACAACCAGGGGTCTTGAATACATCCAGGGGTCTTAAAGACAGTCAGGGATCTTGAAGGCAACCAGGGGTCTTGAAGACAGCCAGGGGTCTTGAAGACAGCCAGGGCTCTTGAAGACAGTCAGGGGTCTTGAAGACAGCCAGGGTCTTGAAGGCAACCAGGAGTCTTGAAGACAGCCAGGGTCTTGAAAACAGCCAAGGGTCTTGAAGACAGCCAGTGCTCTTGAAGACAGTCAGGGGTCTTGAAGACAGTCAGGGGTCTTGAAGACAACCAGGGGTCTTGAAGACAGCCAGGGGTCTTGAAGACAGCCAGGGGCCTTGAAGACAACCAAGGGTCTTGAAGACAACCAGGGGTCTTGAAGACAAGCAGGGGTCTTGAAGACAACCAGGGGTTTTGAAGACAACCAGGGGTCTTGAAGACAAGCAGGGGTCTTAAAGACAAGCAGGGGTCTTGAAGACAGCCAGGGGTCTTGAAGACAACCAGGGGTCTTGAAGACAACCAGGGGTCTTGAAGACAGCCAGGGGTCTTGAAGACAGCCAGGGGTCTTGAAGACAACCAGGGGTCTTGAAGACAGCCAGGGGTCTTGAAGACAGCCAGGAATCTTGAAGACAGTCAGGGGTCTTGAAGACAGTCAGGGGTCTTGAAGGCAGCCAGGGGTCTTGAAGACAGCCAGAGGTATTGAACACAACCAGGGGTCTTGAAGACAGCCAGGGGTCTTGAATACATCCAGGGGTCTTGAAGACAGTCAGGGGTCTTGAAGACAACAAGGGGTCTTGAAGACAACCAGGGGTGTTGAAGACAGCCAGGGGTCTTGAAGACAGCCAGGGGTCTTGAAGACAGCCAGGGGTCTTGAAGACAGTCAGGGGTCTTGAAGACAGTCAGGGGTCTTGAAGACAGTCAGGGGTCTTGAAGACAACCAGGGGTCTTGAAGACAGCCAGGGGTCTTGAAGACAGTCAGGGGCCTTGAAGACAACCAGGGGTCTTGAAGACAACCAGGGGGTCTTGAAGACAGTCAGGGCCTTGAAGACAACCAGGGGTCTTGAAGACAGTCAGGGGTCTTGAAGACAGCCAGGGGTCTTGAAGACATCCAGGGGTCTTGAAGATAGCCATGGGTCTTGAAGACAGTCAGGGATCTTGAAGACAGTCAGGGGTCTTGAAGACAACCAGGGGTCTTGAAGACAGCCAGGGGTCTTGAAGACAGTCAGGGGCCTTGAAGACAACCAGGGGTCTTGAAGACAACCAGGGGTCTTGAAGACAGTCAGGGGTCTTGAAGACAGCCAGGGGTCTTGAAGACAGTCAGGGGTCTTGAAGACAGCAAGGGGTCTTGAAGACAGCCAGGGGTCTTGAAGACAGCCAGAGGTCTTGAAGACAGCCAGGGGTCTTGAAGACAACCAGGGGTCTTGAATACATCCAGGGGTCTTGAAGACAGTCAGAGATCTTGAAGACAACCAGGGGTCTTGAAGACAGCCAGGGGTCTTGAAAACAGCAAGGGGTCTTGAAGACAGCCAGTGCTCTTGAAGACAGTCAGGGGTCTTGAAGACAGTCAGGGGTCTTGAAGACAACCAGGGGTCTTGAAGACAGCCAGGGGTCTTGAAGACAGTCAGGGGCCTTGAAGACAACCAAGGGTTTTGAAGACAACCAGGGGTCTTGAAGACAGCCAGGGGTCTTGAAGACAGCCAGGGGTCTTGAAGACAACCAGGGGTCTTGAAGACAGCCAGGGGGATTGAAGACATCTAGGGGTCTTGAAGACAGTCAGGGGTCTTGAAGACAACCAGGGGTCTTGAAGACAACCAGGGGCCTTGAAGACAGCCAGGAGTCTTTAAGACAGCCAGGGTCTTGAGACAGCCAGGGGTCTTGAAGACAGTCAGGGGTCTTGAAGACAGGTCAGGGGTCTTGAAGACAACCAGGGGTCTTGAAGACAGCCAGGGGTCTTGAAGACAGTCAGGGGCCTTGAAGACAACCAAGGGTCTTGAAGACAACCAGGGGTCTTGAAGACAGTCAGGGGTCTTGAAGACAGCCAGGGGTCTTGAAGACAGTCAGGGGTCTTGAAGACAGCCAGGGGTCTTGAAGACAGCCAGGGGTCTTGAAGACAGCCAGAGGTCTTGAAGACAACCAGGGGTCTTGAAGACAACCAGGGGTCTTGAATACATCCAGGGGTCTTGAAGACAGGGATCTTGAAGATAACCAGGGGTCTTGAAGACAGCCAGGGGTCTTGAAGACAGCCAGGGCTCTTGAAGACAGTCAGGGGTCTTGAAGACAGCCAGGGGTCTTGAAGGCAACCAGGAGTCTTGAAGACAGCCAGGGGTCTTGAAAACAGCCAAGGGTCTTGAAGACAGCCAGTGCTCTTGAAGACAGTCAGGGGTCTTGAAGACAGTCAGGGGTCTTGAAGACAACCAGGGGTCTTGAAGACAGCCAGGGGTCTTGAAGACAGCCAGGGGCCTTGAAGACAACCAAGGGTCTTGAAGACAACCAGGGGTCTTGAAGACAGCCAGGGGTCTTGAAGACAGCCAGGGGTCTTGAAGACAACCAGGGGTCTTGAAGACAGCCAGGGGGATTGAAGACATCTAGGGGTCTTGAAGACAGTCAGGGGTTTTGAAGACAACCAGGGGTCTTGAAGACAACCAGGGGCCTTGAAGACAGCCAGGGGTCTTGAAGACAGCCAGGGGTCTTGAAGACAGCCAGGGGTCTTGAAGACAGTCAGGGGTCTTGAAAACAGCCAGGGGCCTTGAAGACAGCCAGGGGTCTTGAAGACAGTCAGGGGTCTTGAAGACAGTCAGGGGTCTTGAAGACAGTCAGGGGTCTTGAAGACAACCAGGGGTCTTGAAGACAGCCAGGGGTCTTGAAGACAGTCAGGGGCCTTGAAGACAACCAGGGGTCTTGAAGACAACCAGGGGTCTTGAAGACAGTCAGGGGTCTTGAAGACAGCCAGGGGTCTTGAAGACAGTCAGGGGTCTTGAAGACAGCCAGGGGTCTTGAAGACAGCCAGAGGTCTTGAACACAACCAGGGGTCTTGAAGACAACCAGGGGTCTTGAATACATCCAGGGGTCTTGAAGACAGTCAGGGATCTTGAAGACAACCAGGGGTCTTGAAGACAGCCAGGGGTCTTGAAAACAGCCAGGGGTCTTGAAGACAGCTAGGGCTCTTGAAGACAGTCAGGGGTCTTGAAGACAGTCAGGGGTCTTGAAGACAACCAGGGGTCTTGAAGACAGCCAGGGGTCTTGAAGACAGCCAGGGGCTTTGAAGACAACCAAGGGTCTTGAAGACAGCGAGGGGTTTTGAAGACAGCCAGGGGTCTTGAAGACAACCAGGGGTCTTGAAGACAACCAGGGGTCTTGAAGACAGCCAGGGGGATTGAAGACATCTAGGGGTCTTGAAGACAGTCAGGGGTCTTGAAGACAACCAGGGGTCTTGAAGACAACCAGGGGCCTTGAAGACAGCCATGGGTCTTGAGGACAGCCAGGGGTCTTGAAGACAGCCAGGGGTCTTGAAGACAGTCAGGGGTCTTGAAAACAGCCAGGGGCCTTGAAGACAACCATGGGTCTTGAAGACAGCCAGCGGTCTTGAAGACAACCAGAGGTCTTGAAGACAGCCAGGGGTCTTGAAAACAACCAGGGGTCTTGAAGACAGCCAGGGGTCTTGAAGACAGCCAGGGGTCTTGAAGACAACCAGGGGTCTTGAAGACAGCCAGGGGTCTTGAAGACAGCCAAGTGTCTTTAAGACAACCAGGGGTCTTGAAAACAACCAGGGGTCTTGAAGACAGACAGGGGTCTTGAAGACAACCAGAGGTCTTGAAGACAGCCAGGGGTCTTGAAAACAACCAGGGGTCTTGAAGACAGCCAGGGGTCTTGAAGACAGCCAGGGGTCTTGAAGACAACCAGGGGTCTTGAAGACAGCCAGGGGTCTTGAAGACAGCCAAGTGTCTTTAAGACAACCAGGGGTCTTGAAAACAACCAGGGGTCCTGAAGACAGACAGGGGTCTTGAAGACAGCCAGGGGTCTTGAAGACAGTCAGGGGTCTTGAAGACAACCAGGGGTCTTGAAGACAGCCAGGGGTCTTGAAGACAGCCAGGGGTCTTGAAGACAACCAGGGGTCTTGAAGACAACCAGGGGCCTTGAAGACAGCCAGGGGTCTTGAAGACAACCAGAGGTGTTGAAGACAGTCAGGGGTCTTGAAAACAACCAGGAGTCTTGAAGACAACCAGGGGTCTTGAAGACAGCCAGGGGTCTTGAAGACAACCAGGGGTCTTGAAGACAACCAGGGGTCTTGAAGACAGCCAGGGGTCTATTGGTAATCCCCCTTATGTATGCTGGGAGGCAGTACATTTATAACTCATAGGTGTATGCCTATAATTTACATTAATCAAAATTTTAAGGCGTAGATATTCTTAACGGTTGGTGTCAGATGACATGGTACCTCAGGCAGGTAGGAGTGATGCAGTTCAGTGGATCAAGAGCTCGTCACCAGCGTCTCTTGAAGAGACAACTAAACATCAAAGATTTATAAGATGCGCTTCGTATCATGTCACTGGTGACAGTAATCTCCCCTGATCCCTCACGTCTCCCGGCCGCACATTATATAGTTGACAGCGTGCGTGACCAGCAGCCTCGAGGAGACACAGTGTGACTCTGGTCGTGACCACCTGAGTCACTAGAGAACAGCATGTGACTTTTGACTGTGACGTAGTTAATGGTGATTAGTGTTCAGAGTTGTGACGTGATGGTTGATGATTGGTGGAGTGGTTGTGTGAGTGTGTGGTTGATCGCCAGGGCATGATAGATAACTGGTGGAACCTTTCCTTACACAGAGGTCCTTCCTAGGTCCCTCTGTTCTCGAAGAAGGTATTGATGCTCCTCAATATTAGTCTGAGAGAAGAGGAATCTGTGGTCAACAGCATCTAGTGATATTATTAGTGTTTTGCATCTGTTGTCTACAGACCCGTCATCTTGGTTACCTGTGTTTCTGACACCACCATCATGAGTGACCTTGGAAGTGATTTTGGTCATGACGATGAGCTGCGTCGGAGGTCCCTACCGACGGAGTTCCTTCTGACGGGGAACCCCAACCTGATGGGTCTTCCGATCTTCAGGTACCAGCAAGAGTTAGAGGAGGACCGAGCATCTCTCCTCGACTCAGCACAGTTCGTGGCCTCCACCTGCGACTCTGACGACGCTGGAGTGAGTCTGCCTCGTTACTCTCTCATTAAAGACACTGAACTTTCCACTTTAGCTCTTAGAAATGTAATTTCCACCTCCAGTTTCCCTGAATCCCTTCATAAATGTTACCTTATACTCCAACAGCATATCAAATCATAAAAACCACTTGTCTCTACACACTCCGAACTGACACGTTCACACAATATATATAACACAAATATTTTACCTCCAGATAAATACATATACTTTTTCTCACAACTTTCTAAATTTTAACTGGGTTACATATGTAATGTACCACACCACGCAATAACATATAAAAGATAGTGTTAGTTTTAACTGTAGTAACTAAGATCATCTGTCTGTGGTGACAATATATATATTTCGCATGCTCTCGAGAATTCCTTTTATATATATATATATATATATATATATATATATATTATATATATATATATATATATATATATATATTATATATATATATATAATATATATATATATATATATATGTATATATATATATATATATATATATATACATATACATATATATATATATATATATATATATATATATATATATATATATATATATATATATATATATATATATATTATATATATATATTATACCGCCTTCATCCATCCCTCTCATGTTACTCACTCCTACAGTCTGGAGTGGAGTTGTTTCAGCCATCCTCCAGGCGGTACGGGACGTGGAGGAGTGTGGAGGAGGGCATCACCCTCACCTGGAGGGACATCAACGTGTATGTACCACAGAAGAAGACTTGGTATAAGAGGAACCTCAAACACAAGCCCTTCAAGAGGGTCCTCAATAACGGTGAGTAGGAGAGAAGGATGGAAGGTGTAGTGAGAGATTACTAGAGAAGTGACAGAGATAAAGAAGTGAAAGAAAGAGAAAGAAGAAGAACAGAGGGTAAGAGAAAGCAAGCATGCATATATATATATATTATATATATATATATATTATATATATATATATATTATATATATATATATATATATATATATATATATATATATTTATCTTTTAACTCCACGCCTCTTGCCAAGACCCTCGC